CGTGTTGCGTACACCGCAACGGGGATCGTTCCATGGATCCTTCCATGACCCAGGCACTGAATTCAGTCCCGCCTCCCCAACCGCCCCCAAATTACCACCGTTCAAGGTTTTTGGAGGAGCTCAGACCCCCAGGGGCTGGAGCAGGTGCCTGCAGCGAGGTAAAGAGACGGCAGAAATCTGGCTCTGCCAGATTTGGCTGTGCACTTGGAAATCAGGCCCTGTGGGTGGCAAAACACACCTCCAAATAAAAGCTGCCCGGCGTATCGATGCTGTTTTAATAAATACTAGAAGTAGTGAAATGATTTTTTAATAATGCTTTGACAATTAAGAAGCCTGACAGGAAGAGAAACCGGAAATACTTTATCATCGCCTCTTTGCAGAAGCGTTGTTTTTCATTCCAGTAAAAGAAACACATCAGCTTTCTTTTTTCCATCTTATTAAATATTTCCTAAACAAACTAGCCTGTTTTTGCTTAGTCAAACATCACTACTTGTCTAAATAAAACTCAAAGAAAAACTTTCCTATGTTCACCGTTCTCGATGTCAATATTCATTAGATAACAGAAATCACAGAGAGCATCCACTCCTATCTGCAAAAAAAAAATAACTTCTTGAACACGTTTCCTCCATTTTGATGTACCTACTTAAAAGAAATCTGAACAAAGAGAGGTCTAACCCTTATCATTCAGCGTGTTGTTTAAAGTCTTCTGAGCTGGAGAACTCCTTCAGCTTTCTTAGCAGATGAAAGCACAGGATTTGGAACCACAGCATACCTGTCTGGTTGCCTGTGTGCTTCTTCAGCCTCTCCAGATGGATTCATTCCTCAAATGCTACCGCTGACGTCTACTGATTTCAGAGAACTATTCCTCCTGTTTAAAACGCACGCGTGGGCCAACGCTACAATTCTCCCCCTCTACTCTGCCCTCGTGAGACCTCACCTGGAGTATTGTGTCCAGTTCTGGAGCCCCCAACATAGGAGGGACATGGACCAGTTGGAGAGGGTCCAGAGGAGGGCCACGAAGATGATAAGAGGGCTGGAGCACCTTTCCTATGAGGACAGGCTGAAAGAGTTGGGGCTGTTCAGTCTGGAGAAGAGGAGGCTCCGGGGTGACCTTATAGCGGTCTTCCAGTACCTCAAGGGGCCCTACAGGAAAGATGGGCAGAGGCTGTTCAGGAGGGCCTGCTGTGATAGGACAAGGGGTAATGGTTTTAAAATAGAGGGAGGTAGATTCAGGTTGGATATTAGGAAAAAATTTTTTACCATGAGAGTTGTAGAATGCTGGAACAGGTTGCCCAGAGAGGTGGTGGATGCTCCATCCCTGGAGACATTCAAGGCCAGGTTGGACGAGGCCCGGAGCAACCTGATCTAGTTGGAGATATCCCTGTTCCTTGCAGGGGGTTTGGACTAGATGACCTTTGAAGGTCCCTTCCAGCCCTAACCATTCTATGATTCTATGATTCTAAATTCATAGACGGAAAATGATACGCGGTGACAATCAGAAATGAAAACCAAGCGTTTTTCCGGAGGGTAGGGCTCACCCGTGGTTTTCTGAAACGTTCTGCAGCACGTAAGGGAGCTGCACAGCACATTTGCACAGAGCTGCAGCAGCGCAGGGACTTCAGAGCTGAACATCCAAGCGTCTGCTCAACGTGCCTTGCTCACACTCCTGACCGCTGCGTCCGGTCCTGCGCCTTCCTCCTCACATCCTGATGGGAATTAGCACTTACCGTACGGGCTGTGGGAATTCACCTGTGCCAGAAGGGTATGGGAACTACTGATTTTTCTATCCCAGGCATGTCTGGGGAGGAGTCTCCAGAGCCTGCAGGCTCCAGGACAAAACTGATGTGCAATTGCTCAGCAGTGCGTAGTACTGAAGTAATAACTAAAAAAAAAAATGACGTTCTAGTCATTTCTGTACAATAAAGGTTAATACAGGATTCGGGGATCGCTTGGATCCAGCAGGACAGTACATCAAAACTTTAATTAAAAGTGGATTACGAGTACTTAGGTTTATGGTCTGTCCCAAGCCAAAGACTGAAGCAAGCCCTTTTTCCAGACCTTGGCTTTCATCTGGAAAGCCTCTACGTTCTCTTTTGTTTTGTTACTTAAACTTTTAATTTACAGAGCAGTAAGACTTCCATTTTTACAGCATTTTTTTTTTATTATTCTTTCTGAGGCAGGAACTCGTCTTCACCAAGTAAGTCCCCGCTCCGCAAAACACGGGAGATGCCTTATGGCAGCAAAACCGTCACGCTGCTGGAAAGGGCAGCTTGTGCTGGCTGCATGTCACAGAGCTGCACTCCATGGAGACGCTATAGGACCATCCATGGGAGGTGGGATGAGCGAGGCCACATGTCCCTGGATCCACTGGCTGTTTTCCCCTAGGGAACGAGGAGAAACAGGAGCTACAGGAAAAAAACACCCTATTGCTCTGTGGTCGGGGTGGGAGCTGCACGGTGAGTCCATGGCTCTCCCGCTGGTTGTGCCATCCCTGCGTGCCCACAGCCACCCCAGGAGCAGTCAGTGGGCTCACACAATGTTTAGGCTTTAGTCCATATACAGTATTTTGCTTTGGCACAGTCCAGTTGACCTGTAAGATGTATGTCTAACGCGCACCACGCAGTTTTTAGAAGACCCCTCATGCAAAATTACGGTAAGCACTGCTTTGTATAGAAGGAGAAGCAGCTTACAGGACACCATTTGATTTGTATAAAACCACATCTTACACTTGATGATGGCTCTGACATCTGTGTGTCCAAAACTTGCACCTTCTATGTTTGTGGGATTTGTTTAAACAAGAGACAAAGTGTTACCTGGACCAAACTAGCGCTTATCTCCTTTACATTTTTTAAACACATAGTGGCTGTTGACTCAAATATTTTCTTCTTCATGAGCTAAACTTTGGTTTTCTACAACGTCTTGAAACATGAAAAGAATGTTGTGACTGACATCGAGCAGAACCTCCAGAAATGACTCTAGAAATAGAGCAGTGTCAATGCCCAATCCAGCCATTGCGCCCAGTTTCCGAACGTGTAGTCAAGGGGATCGTATCCATCTTTGAAAGGCATGATGGAAAAAAGACCACCAGCAACAAAAGGGCGAATCCTTACAGCTACAACACAGGCGTAATAAAAACATCCTACACTATTAATTCTGATGATTGCAGAAGCACATTCACTCTTACCACTCTTATGGGAGAGTTTGCAAGAAACTAAGATGTTTTCCAATCACCTACATACACATATACATACTTATTAAGGGAACGTGAGTGGAGAATCGAACGGGAAGGGGGGGAAGGCATATCTGCTATGGATACCTACTTCCCTTTACCCTGCTCTGCTGTTACATTTTCCCTTTCAGGCTTCCCTACATTGAAACGAAAATGAATTTAAATCAGCACAGCAGACTAAACAAGACTCCCAATGCTTTCAGCAATTACCATAATTAAACATGTCTTTGCAGAATAAAGCCTAGGCTGGTTTTCTCTGTTGCCTGTCACTAGGTAGATGTTCCCACCTCTTCCCAACACTTGAAACATCGAATGTTTCAAACTCAGAATGGTGGTAGCACAAGCCAACTTTGTGGCTGTGAATACTAGTCCCGTGGTTTAGAAGAAAACGGTAAAAAATGGGCTGTGTAAAGGCTGGAGAGGAGAGATGCTGCTTAATAAACAGCAGTTAACAACCAACATGTATTTGAAACACCTATGAGGGTAACTTGGGTGGAAAGGCAATACCTGTTGGCTTCTACAACAGATTTCTGTTGCTGAAGAGCGTTGTGCAAGAGAATAACAGCTTTTTTTCTTTCCAATTTAAGAGATGACCAGTCTTTAAATATACACAGACATCCCCGCTGGGGATGAAGTTTGCATAAGCAGGCTGCTGCAGTGAAGCAGAGCCACGCAGCACATATTCAATAAGCAGTCAGTTGGCCATGTCAGGTTTCCTGGACTTTTATTCTAAATTAAAGACCTGATAAAAGCCTGGAGTGCATGCAAGCTAACTGGGTGAAATTCCAAATGTCTATTTTATGGGATTTCACCTGCGAAAAGCTGGCAGGTCTCTTTCAAGTCATGTGACAGGACTCAAGTATTGCTGTGTGGGAATTTCCCTCAGAAGGACTATTTTCACTTGGAAAGTTGGAAAGTCTACAAAAAAGCATGAAACTAATCATTTTTTCTAATTCCTCTTCCTTCCAAAACAATAACAAAACAACCACCCTTTTTTCCTACTTTCCCCCAAAAAGTGCTCTCAGAAAAAGAGCAATTTCAAATAAAAACCCATAAATCTAAATTCACTTGCTCTTAAAATCTTCTTACAAGCCTGCGTGGGATTGAGCTACCATGAGTGACTTCGCAGCCACCAATATCAGCTCACAAAAAAAAAAAATTGGCACACGTGTTTCTGAACATTTCCGAAACATCGAGTCGTCTGTACGGAGCACTCAGATCTCCATCCACCCTGTGCTTTTTGTTGCTACCCAAGAGCAGCATCAGCCTGGAGGGCTATTTTCACCCCGCGAGAGACAGCAAGGTGCAGGATGACTGGAAGGAGAATCCCCAAAGCGCCTCCAGCCCAGAGCCCAGCACGGTTACGAGGCTGCGGTGCAAATTCAGAAGTATTATTCAAATGCCATGTACCCTCTGGGGTCACAAAGTCAGACGGAGGGTTGGCAGGAACCTGGCAGAGAGCTCGGCGTGCTCACAATTTGTGGCTACACACGTGAGTTTGTCCTGGGGCTCTTCAGCTCCCCGAAGCAGAAAAAGTCCTTGTTCCAACAGGTCTCTGCCACCCATACAAAAGAAAACAAGCTGCAGAGAAGGTCTCTTGTGTGGGCAGCAGAGAGAAAGGCAGCTCTCATGGTTTGATTCTCACTCTCATTTTATAGCACGAGGTATGCTTCCGAATCACTCCAAAGAAGTATCAGAGCCATGTATGTTTCTAAGAAATCATCATTATCTCTCATTTTAACTAGCAGAGAAAAGGAACATATTTTGTTACCATTAGCAGGAAGATAGGTGAAGAGCTGGTACTGGCTTCTCTTTCTCTTTCCGTTGCAGACGTAGAAGTTGACCTGAACAGGGCTGGTAATTCTCTGATTGCGGAAAGGTGGTATCTCAACCACCAACGAATTCTGCAAAAGCAACAAATCAGCGAGTCAAGGCATGGCTAAGGCATTCGAGCTGTACAAGACTATTCACGTGCCAACCCCGAGAAGGAGCAACACAGTGGAGCTGGTGGGCTTCGTGGCAAGGATGGCCTCCTGCCACCCCCAGTGTCCATGCCAGGGATTCCAGAAGTAGGGAAATAAGATTTTAGCATGGCTCAGGTCTTTAGGAAATTACTAGCCTTCCACCTCTTCCCTTTGGACAGCAAATATGAAACCACGTATGGACAAGGCTCTACCCCTCCCGCCTCTGACAAGGATCTGGGACCATAATCAAGTCGTGGTCTCTAACTCAGCAGGACAAAGCATAACAGCTCAGCTGGCAGGTCATTCCCAGAATATCTCACTCTAGCACAACTTTGTTTGAAAGCAGAATTAGGACAGGCATTATGATTATTCGAATATTTCCATTTTCCACAGTGAAATGTTTTTTCATATAACGAGTCAGGAAGTTCTAAGCGTGCTAGTTTCTGTAGATGGGAGATCTTGCAAGAACATCCAGTGCTATGGGAAGAAGGGCTGGAGAGTGTGTAGATGATCTTCCACTGTCAGAAACCAAATGCTCCAGCACAGGGCTAAGGAACGACTACGCTGCTGGGGCATCAGCTTACACCAACGCGCAGTGAAATCTGCTATGACCATCAAAACCTCCCTGGGCACTTTTTGAAAGAACAAAAGGGAACGCTTGTCTTCGCAGTTGGCCTGCGTTCAGCCGAGGTCTTTAAATTGTTTGCCTGCATGTCTCCAGCAGGTTTGCAGCTAACAAACTGTTGTATGTTCCTGCAGAGGTGGAAGAGTGGCCGTGTTTCCCACTTATGGTCGTGGCTGAGGGAACCACACTTCTCCAACTGTGAGGGCTGATCTCCTGTGAGGGGACTCAATTTCTTCTGCCAAAGGTAGATGAAAGCCAAGGAAAATGATCAGAAATTGCTTTGGCAGAAGGGGGAAGAACTGACCCAGCAAGACAGAAGATGAGCAGACGAGGCTGGCCCATCTCGGACAATGAAAAAATATTTTCCAAATGGTCTCTCCTACTTTCGGGATAGCTTCCAACAAAGGCTTTTTACCCCACACTCCTAGTAAAGAAAGATTTCCAGGAGGAGAGGCCTAAGTACTTGTTCTGTTTCAGTGGGAAGACACAGTGCCAAAGCCTTGGAAATCCCTCTTTAGTAACAGTGCTGGAGAAGGCAATATATATTTTTGTCTTGATGTTAAAATATTTAAAGCAGACTTACTGGCTTGCACATTTCTTTGTCGGTTTTGGCTTCCATTTCCCACACATGGTGACCATCTAAAAGACAAAAGAAAAAGATATCTAGTTCTGTCCTTTTTTTCCCTCTACCAAGCCTACAAAAGAATGACTTTTGCAAAAAAAAATCTCTTTGAAGGGGCACTGCCTATACAAAAACCAGCTCTCAAAACTCATTGCCCAAGCGTTGCCCAACCAGGAGGCCATCTGGGCAACCCATGAGAGGAGTCCACTCAGATTTTTTGAAGCTTTGCACAGTTCAGAGCGCATGATACTGCGATGGGTGAAAGCCACCGGGTGTTTGCTCCGCTGCTAGTTTGGACAAAACATGCCACTGTTCTACACTTTAAGTTTCCCAAACTTTGAGACAAAAAATACTGCTACCTACGAGGCCTTTTGATCACTACCTATGCAGGAAGTAATAGTCAACATTAAGGAATATTCAACATTAATATTAAACGAAACAAAACAAGTAGTATTAAGGAAGCTCCTCAGCCACGCAGTATTTCATTTTAATATGCTCCTAGTCTGGCCTGTCATAATTCTGCTGTTTGGATCAAAAGGCAAGGCCCACAGGCTGGGAAACACAGCTTTAGACTCCATTTTAAAGTTGGTTGAGCTCAGCTACAGTGGTCCCACCAACAGTTTTCTGGAGCTGCTTCTAGTCGTGTGTTGGGTCCTCCTAATTTATTTCTGTTTTCAAGCAAACATAGATTTAAGCCACAGCTATTATTTTTTTCTAGGGGCCTGTCTTCTGGAAGAAATTGGGGTTTGTCTGGTCGTTTTTCCTGCACCTCATCGGTAGAGAAGTCACTGGTCAATAACAGGTTCTTTTTTTGCTTCCTCGCGGCTTCAAAACTCAACGGCAAAGAAATTAGGAAAATAATACGAAACGTAAGGTTTCCATTCTGTCTAAGCTGGGCAGCGGGGACACACGCGGATCCCTGAGTCCCGCCATTGTCGGATGTCACCGGAATGAAAGGGAAAACGAGACTTTACGTCACCTCTTTTGTACACTTATTGCAGCATCGGGACGTGCAAATGCAAATATTGGCTGTTTTGAGCTTCGTGGCAGGGACGCGGGGCTGCCTTGGGGAAACAGCTCTCAGCAAGGTAAGAGAGTGAATGCACTTTTTCTTCTCTCTTGGCCTTCATGGCCAGGATGGAGGTGACGCATTTAGGACTGCCTGATTTATTACAAATGTCTGTAAATAATATTTTTGTGTACAGCTGTCCTACTGTGAAAGGAATGCTGCCGAGGGACTGGCCCCGGTGATTGTTTTAACGTCCGAAAGCCTTTCTCTTTAACGTATGGAAAGGAGGGCAATGGGAAAGCTGCAGCACAAATAGCTCCGTGGGTTTGGCAGGTCCTTCTGTAGGAAACAATTAGCAGATCTACCCTTAGTTTCTTCCTACGTTTTAAATTGTGACGCTGGAAAAAGGAATCCCTTTAATTGACAGTGCCACGTTCGGCTGCGGGGAGAGCCGGAGCAGCCAGACCGTGCCGGAGTCTCCGTAACGATGCCTTTGGAGAGCGCCAGAACTGAAGCAGACTTTCTCGGGAGGACTGGCGATCACTTCACAATTCATCCAACAGATGCTTCCCCCGAGCTGTCAGCAGAAAAAACCCGACCGAAATTCGGCAAGCCGGGACACATCCCTCGTCTGGGAGCAGCCTCCTGGATCTCCCACCCCCCTCCCTGTAGCATCCTCCCCTTCCCAATTATCTCACCAGTTGTAAAAGTAACACAACCCCGACGCTATCACACGTTTTGCAAAGTCGAGGAACCTCTGCTTTGTAAGGGGTCTTTCTGTAAAACCTACAGACACCCAGACTAGTAGTTAACATATGTCCAATTTGCCTTTGTAAACGGATTACCAGAAGTTCAGCTTTTTTTTCGCTGTGTTTAATTTCTGCTTCGCAAAGACGAACGATCCGATTCAGGTTTCTGGTTTTTATTTCCTGCCGATACTTCAGTAAAACCCAAAGCGACTCCACCTCCAGCTAATCTTTCAGTTACCTCACGCAGCACTGCCTTTATGTGCTTTTGAAATTTTTATGGTGACAAAAAGAGTTTGCTCAGAAATGGTTTAAATGCTGCAATCTAAACTACTAGGAAAATAAAAATCCAGAGCCGTGGCTCGTCTTTGGAAGCTAATAAGAACAATACGGGTTTCGCTCCAAGAAATTCCCTTGAGACTGTCCAGACCATCGCAGCTCAGCGACGGAGGGGAAGGGGAAGAGAGGGAATAAGTAGGGAACAGACAACTCATTAACAGCTAGTGACATTTCATTTAACAAAAAGACAGGGAGGAAAAGTTGTTATGAAGCAGAGACAAAAAAAAAAAAGAGACAATTCCTCATATTACGTCTGGTGAACCAAGAGGGAAATCTCAACGCCCACGGACTGGGACCAGCTCCAGGAGGGAAACCTTAGACCACTACGTCAACCTCTTACAGTAAACATGTTTTGCAGGTTTATACAGTTCAGCTGAAATTAAAAACAAAAAAAAAAAAAAACAAGAGAAAGGAATAATGGCTTCGGAACAGTCTGCGGGAGCCTGAAGCACCGAGACAACCCGCCTGCGCCGGAGAAAACGGTTTTGCCCCCAGCGCC